GAGCTCGGACCGGTCTTGGCAAAGATCAGTTTTTCAAAGGTAGTGTAAATGGGGTTTTAGTTTAGAAAACATGCAAATAGAAACGGATGAACGGGTCCCCCCCTTTGGAATGGGGGTCGTTTGGCTTCTTTGTTAGCCTGCAATGCCCCATACCTGTCTATGTCTCTGAAAAGGGGGGCGTTAGAGGGAATAGTTGGCCTGGCTGAACAGGTGAGGTCTTCTGTTCTCCTGTAAAGGGGTTGGGGCTGCAGGCCGCAGTTCCGCCACATTTACATCATCAGAAGCCGTTCGGATTCAATATGCATCTAATTACCAGATGAAATAGAGCATAAAGCATGAAAATAAAATATATCACACTCATCAGAGATGCTGATTATTTATAAACTAAATCCATCCTTCTGTCTTTGTGCAGGAAGTCTTACTTTCAGCCATTTAAGCCAGAAAAACTTTGGACAAAAATGAATCTAAAATTCAGATTGTCACTAGCTTAACTTAGCTTTAAACATTTTGCTCAAACTGACCAATCAGAGGCCAGAAAATTGTGAAATTAGGGGCGGGCCCTCTAGCTGGCCCAGTGGGGAAAATTTTAAATCTGATTGAAGAAAACTGTCCTTGCTACTGTTGTTAAGGTAATACCAGCCGCCGCTGCTGATTCCGAAGGCCCTGGGCAGATTTGGTTGCCATAGCAACACACAGAGGCTGAAATCTGATTCGACAAAATATGTAGCAACCGCATAAATGTAGTGGAAGCAGCGCAGCCAAGAGAAACGCTAAAAAAAAAAACAAGAGAATGGATTGTTTGGCATATTAATACAGTTGGAGAGAAGAAAACAAAATGTTTAGCTTATGAATGTAGGTTAGTGTTTCTGACTGATTTTAGGCCAGCAGTGAACCGCCCACCGCTGACGGCGTCCTACTTTCCCTCTGATCCACCTGTCTATGGTTGAAAAAGGATACAATGTGGCTAATTTATCATTTTCTTCATCATGATCTCCCTCAGGTCCGATCCAGTGTCCGGCCTACCCCACAGAGCTGGTCTTCGCTTTAGACTTAACGCCTGGCTTTGAGTTTAACAGGCAAAGGGAGATCATGCTGTCCATGTTGAGGAACATCACCATCGCTGAGAGCAACTGTCCAGTGGGCGCTCGTGTCTCTGTGGTGGGATACAGCAGATACACCAAGTACCTGATCCGTTTCCAGAAGCACCGCAGCAAGAAAGCTCTTCTAATGGACATAGAGAATCTCTCTGGAGAACGCAACGCAGAACAGCGGCACCTTGGAGCGGCCATGCTGTTCGTGGGCCGAAATGTCTTCAAGCGTGTCCGCTCTGGGCACATGATAAGGAAAGTGGCGGTGTTCTTCTCCGGCGGAGAGTCACAGGACCCTGAGGATATAGTTGCTGCGATGATGGAGTACCAGGCGCTGAACATCATCCCTGCCGTCATCTCTCCAAGGAACATCCAGCAGATCAGTCAAGCATTGGAGGTGGGTTTGACTTTCTGATGCCTGCTCAGAATACTGGGATGATGAGAGGAGGTGGTCTGAAAGAGAACACAAAGAACTTTGACCTATTTTGCAAGTTCTCCCACTCAGAAGTAAAATCAAGAAATCACAAAATATGTCTTTATAACAATTTATTTTTATGATACAGCTGTAAATAAGTATTTGAGCAGCTGTCTATCTGCAAGAGTTCTGACCCTCAAAGACCTGTCAGTCTGCCTTCAATATGTTCACCTCCACTCCGTTCATTATCCTAAATTCGATGCACTAGTTAGAGGCAGTTATCTGCATAAAGACACCTGTCTACCCCATACAATCAGTTAAGATCCAACCACTAACATGGCCAAGACCAAAGAGCTGTTCAAAGACAATAGATAATAAACTGTACTGGGAAATAACCAAGCAGCTTGGTGAAAA